TTTTTTTTAAGGCAGAAGCAGACAGATTCTTGATGACCGAGATGATGAAAGATATTCAGGGATACGCAGACACAGAGTTGAGGTCGAAATCAGATCAGCCCTAATCTTATTGAATCTCAGAGCAGGCTCAAAGGGCCAAGTGGCCGACACTTGTTCCTCATTCATATGCTCGAATGAACCAGAGAACAAAGAAACACAAATCTTGTCTGATTACTGGGGGTCAGGAGGGTGTTTGCGCTCCTACTTCACCTTCTCGGTATATTAGTTCCATTTTATCCCCTCACCCAGCTTCAATTAACATCCTTTTATTTCCAGGGAATACACCATTTTTGGTGAGATGAGGCATTTTGATAGAAGGAGAAGAGAACATATGAAATAGGATCTAGAGTTGTCCATTATGCCCCTCGAGCCTCAAAAAGGTCAAAGCTCATCTATTTAGGTTTCAATTCCACATTCCCAATTGGCCTTGATAATGTTTTTTCCTTTATTCTTGTGGGCATTGCTGCTAATCCATCTAGTTGTCATTGAGAGGGTGGTAGTGAACTGCTTTCATGAACCACTGTATTCCATGAGCTGCAAGTGGACCCACAATGCTGTTAGGGAGGGAATTCAGGATTTCGACCCAGCAATACTGAAGGAATAGTGATATATTTCCAATTAAGGATGGGGAGTGGCTGGGAAGGAATTCATGCTCAACATCCAGTCTCAGAGACCTACAGCACAGAAAAAGCCTCGGCTGACTCTGTCTGATTTTGTCACTATCATCTAAGTAGTCTGTTATCCCACCTTTAAGAGTGGACTCGAACATTATTCCCACCAACAATGTTATGCAAATTCCATGTTTTCTCTCTGACTTCCTTCTTAAATACTGGGGTTATGTTAGCTACCCTCCAAACCATCAGAACTCTTTGCGACTGTATAGTATTTTGGAGTATAACCACTAGTGCAGCTGCTCATTCTAAGGCCACTTCCTAAGGTACTCTGAGATGAAAGTTATCAATCTCTGGGGATTTATCTGCCTATTAGCTCATTAGTTTTCCCAATTTCTTACAATTCCACCTTCCAATTAGACCCTGTGATCCCCTTAATTTTGGGACATTATTTGTGTGCCCCTTTTTGAAAATCTAAGATATATTTAATTGGTCTGTCATCACTTTGCACTCCATTATAAATTCCCTGTTTGATTGTAAGGAGACCCTACATTTTTCTTGACTAATCTTGGATTATCAATCTTCAATTAAGAGTTTAATGATGATCATGAAACCGTTGTTGATTGTCAGGAAAAACCCATCTGGCTCACTAATATCCTTCAGGGAAAGAAACTGTCATCCTTACCCGGTCTGGCGTATATGTGACTCCACCCCCACTGCAATGCAGTTATCTCTGGGCAATCAGGGATGTGCAATAAATTCTGACCGAGTTAGCAATGTCCACATCCTGTGAATGTCTATTTTAAAAATGCTGTTGGTCTTATGGTCCATGCAAGAGTACTCTCAGATTCTATTTTCTCCCTCTAATTAAATCCCTTTGTCTCCCTTTGCTGAAATCGAAACGGTTCCCAATCCTGAGGTCTGTTGTTTTATTTATCCAATTTGTACGCTGCTTCCTTAAATTTAATACCCCGCTCATTTCTCTTTCTCTGCCATGGTTTGACAACGTTTCGATTTTATTTTTATGCCACAGCTTGTCCACGTCCTCTTTCAATGTTTGCCATTACCCATCTCCCATCATCCATTGAAATTGTGGTCCACAATTTGTCACAACTGGCTCATGCCTCATACCATTCTAACTTCTTTTATTTAATGACAGGACTCCAGTCTCAAAATCAACGACATCACTCTCCATCTTAATGTTGAATTCTATCCTGTCGTGGTCACTCTTCCTTCAGGGCCCATGCTCAACTTGATTGTCAATTATTCCTTTCTCACTACCCAATACTCATCTGCTTTTTCAACCTAAAATTGTACCATATATACGCTAAGAATTCCTCCTCTATCTTATTGCTACTGATGCTATCTGCTCAATTTATATGTAGGTTGAAGTCACCCATAATTACAGCCATAACTTTATGCCTTGTAGTTCTAAATTCCATTCTGATGCCTTCCCCAATATTACTGCAGCTTGGGGTCTATATACAACACTAATATCACTTTCTCTCCATTGACGTTTGAGCTCAACCCATAGAGATTCTACTTCACCACACCCTATATCCTGGCTCACATCATATTACTTTACTGTTTTAGTCAGCAGTTCTAGCCTAATCCTATTCCATTTCGCCTGCCCAACCTATCCTCCTTAGACAACCCACTTATTCCAGGGTTCAATCTTGTAAACTTTCTCTGAACCACTTCGAATAAGCGTACAGACGACCAAAACCTGCACGAGGTATTTGAGATTTGGTCTCTTCCCTTCCTTGTACAAATGAAGCAGAACATCCTTACATTGATGTTTAATTCCTGTGATAATAAAGCATACAGCCTATTGGCTTTCTGGATTAGACCGAGATCTTAGTCAATTGGGTCAATGGGCTAAAGAGTGGCAGATTGAACTTTATTTGAATAAATGTTTGTTTTATCCAAAATGGAATACTTCACATGAGCAGGACTTATACAATTAATAGTAGGGCCCTGGGTACTATTACAGAACAGAGAACCTAGGCTTTCAGGTACATTATTCTTTGAAATTTGTTTCACAGGTGGACAGAGTGGTTAAGAAGGCATTCAGCACACTTGTCTTCATTGCTCAGGTCTTTGAGTACGGGAGTTAGGACGTCATGTTGGAGGTTGTAAAGGATGTTGATGAGGACTCTCAAGGAATACTGTGTGCCATTCTGGTAGTCCCGTCATCGGAAGGATATTATTAAACCGGAGTGGGTTCAGAAAAAAGCAGGATATTACTGGGTAAGAAGGGTTCGAGTTGTAAAAATAGGCTGGATAGGCTGGGACTTCATTCACCGGAAGATAGGAGGTTGAGGCGTAACCTGAAAGAGGTTTATAAAAGCACGAGAGGCTTAGATAAGGTGAACAGCAAAGGTCTTATCCCTCAGATGGATGAGTTCAAAACTAGGGGGCATATTTTTTACGGTGAGAGAAGAAAGATTTAAAAAATGACATGAGGGGTAACTTTTCTTTTCTTTTTACATAGAGTGTGCTCAGTGTGTGGAATGAACTGCCAGATGAAATGGTAGGTGCAGGTACAGTTACAGTTACAATGTTTAAAAGAGATTTAGATAAGTACATAAATTCGAAAGGTTTGGAGTGATGTGGGCCAAATGCAGGAAGATGGGACTAGTTTAGTTTGGGAATATGGTCAGGATGGAATAGTTGGACCATTAGGTCTGTTTTCATGCTGTATGACACCATGGTTACATGCTATATCTGCATACTAACTTTGTAACTCATACTTTATCCTCCACATCTCAGAATTCAGCAGTCATTCACCATTTAAGGAATATTCTGCTCTTGTTTCTGCTTCCTGCTAAAGTGAATGATATCACATTTTCCTACATTGTACGCCATGCAAGATATTTTGCCCATACTAATGTTTCGGGTTTCAGAAGCTGTAGGAAGGAAAGAAAGGGAGGCAAAAGAAGTGAGGGAGTGGCTTTTTTTTTAATTGGGGAAAATATTGCAGCTGCAACTAGAAAAGATATTTCTGAAAAAAAAAATGTCCAGTGAAAATATGGGTTGAAATTAGAAATAAGAAAGGAATGATCATGTGGTGGGATTGTACTATGGGTTCCTAATTAGTCAGGGGAAATTGAGGAACAAATACGTAGAGAGATCTCAGATATACGAAAGAATGAGAAGGTTGTAGGAATCGGTGATTTTAATTTTCTAAACATTGACTGGAACTGCTACAGTGTTAAAGGTTTGGATGGTGAATAATTTGTTAAATGTGTTCAAGAATATTTTCTTTATCAGTAAGTCAATGTTCCTACTAAAGAGAAAGAGAAAACTCGAGCTTCTCTTTGGTAATAAGGCACAGTAAGTGACTGAAGTGACTGTAAAGGAGTACTTTGGGTCTGGTGATAATAATTCTGTCAGTCTTAAAACAGTTGTGGAAAAGGATAAGCCTTCCAGAAAAGGTAAAAGTATTTAATTGGAGTAAGGCCAATTTTAATGGTATGTGACAAGAACTTTCAAAAGTTGAATGGAGTAGACTGCAGGTAAAGGGTCATCTGATAAATGGGAGGTTTTCAGAAGTGTGGTAACGAGAGTTCAGAATCATTATGTTCTTGTTAGAGTGAAAGGTAAGGCTGGGAGAATTAGAGAATAATGGATGAAAAGGATATTCAGCTTTTAGTCAAGAATAAAAAACTCATCATCAATTAGATACAAACAATTGGGTTTAAATGAATCTTTTGAACAGTACAAACAGTGTACAGGCATTCTTAAGTGGGAGATCAGGAAGGCAGGAGGGGATATGAAATTGCCTTGATAGATAAGGTGACGGATAATGCAAAGATACACTACAAGTGCTTTAAGAGCAAGAAAGCAACGAGAGAGCGAGCATGGCTCTTTAAAGATTAAAGAGGTCATCTCAGCATTGAACCTCAGGAGATGACAGAAATATTACAAAGATATTAATATTTTGCATCAGTTTTTACGGTGGAGAAAGAAGTGGATGTTGGAGAATTCAGGGAAAAAAATAGTGTGTTTTGAAAACAGTTCACATGGACGTCTTCTAAAATATAAAGATGGATATCCTGTGGCACAGAAGACGGGGCAAGATTTTTAAATAAATATTTCTCCTTAGTGTTTAGTGAGGAGAGAATCATGGATGCTACGGAAATACGGGAAACAAGCGGGGATGTTTTGGACCACATACTTATTCTCAGAGGTGGTGTTTGCAGCCTTAAAGCGCATTAAGGTGGATAAATCCCTGGGCCTGATCAAATCCATCCTCAGACATTGTGGGAGGCTAGGGAAGAAATTGCAGAGGCCTTTGTAGAAATTTTTGCTTCAGCTTTAGCCACTGGTGAAGTTCCAGGAGACTGGATAGTGGCTCATGTTTTTCCATTGTTTAAAGAAAGGTAGCAAAGACATGCCAGGGAACTGCAGGCCAGTGAGCCTGACAGCAGTGGGAGGCAAGTTATCGGAGAGGATACTGAGGGACGGGATCAACCAACATTTGGATAGTCAAGGTCCGATTAGGGATTGTCAGGATGGGTTTGTGCGCGGGAAGTCACGTCTGACAAATCTTTCAGACTTTTTCTGAGAGGAAACCAAGAGCATAGGTGAGGGTACGGCAGTGGTCTCATCTATGTGGACTTTAATAAGGCTTTTAACAAGGTCCTGCACGCAGTCTCGTCATGCAGTTTAGGTCACATGGGATCCAGGGAGAGCTAGTGAATTGATTCGAAACTGGCTCAATGGTAGGAAGCAGAGGGTGATGGTTGAAGGTTACTTCTCAGACTGGAAGCCTGTGGTGTTCCACAGGGGTCAGTGCTGGGACCTTTGTTATTTGTTATTTACATAAATCACCTGGATGTGAATATACAGGGATGATTAGTAAGTTTGTGGATGATACAAAATTAGTAGGTATTGAGAGGGGAAGACTATCAGAAAATTGATCTCGATCAGTTGGGGAAGTAGGCCGAGGGTTGGCAAATGCAATTCAATACAGCTAAGTGAGGTGTTGCACTTTGGAAAGTCAAACCAATGTAGGACTTATACAGTAAATGGTGAGGTCCTGAGGATTGTTGTGGAACAGAGGGACCAAGGAGAACAAGTACATGGGTCATTGAAAGTGGTGTCACAGGTAACAAGGGTGGAGGAGAAGGCATTTAGCATGCTGGCCTTCATCGGTTGAGGCATTGAGTATTGGTGTTGGGACATTATGTTACAGATGTATAAGTCATTGGTGAGGCTGCACTGGAATACTGTGTACGGTTTTGGTCACGCTGTCACAGGAAAGACATAGTTAAACTGGAAAGTGTGCAAAGAAGATTTACCAGGATGTTACCAGGACTAGTAGGCCCAAATTGTAGGGACAGGTTGTTCAGGGTAGGACTTTATTCCTTGGAACGTAGGAGAATGAGGGAGTGACTTTATTGAGGTGTCTAAAATCATGAGGGGCAAAGATAGGATGAATGCATATCGGCTTTATCCCAGGGATGGGGAATTGAAATCACAAGGTCATAGGTTTAAGGTGAAAGGGGAAAGATTTAAGAAGGACCTGAGGGGTAACTTCTTCATGCACAGAGTGGTGCATGTATGGAATGGGCTGCTAGAGAAAGTCGTTCAGGCTGGTACAATAGCAGCATTTAAAATACATTTGGACAGGTGCATGGATGGGAAGGGTTGAGAGGGAAGTGGACCAAATCCAGCAGTTGGAACTAGCTTAATGGACACCATGGACCAGTTTGGGAAAAAGACCTTTTTGCATGCTGTATTACTCTATGAATCTAAATCTTACAACCTGTCTCGTGCTTCCCATCGTGTTGTGGAAAGTTAAAGAGAAAATGTGGGGATGCTTGCACAAGTATTGTATCATCTATACCTACGGGTGAGGTGCCAGATGACTGAAGAGTGGCTAATGTTGTGCCTTCATTTAAGGGATGTAAGGAGAAGCCTGTGAACTATAGGCATGTGAGTCTGACTTTGGTGGTGGATAAGTTGTTGGAGGCGATTGTCGAAGATAGCATTTGGAGAGGCAAGGACTGATTATGGATTTTCAGCATGGTTTTATGCAAGTGAAATAGTGTCTTACACATTTGACTGAGATTTTGATGAAGTAACCAAGATGATTGACGAGGGCAGAGCAGTAAATATTGTTTACTTGGACTTTAGTAAAGCTCTTGACAAGGTTCCACAAGGTAGACTAATTAGTAAAGTTAGCTTACATGGGATCGAGGGTGAGCTTGCCAGTTGGATAAAAAATTTGCTTAATGTCACAAGACAGGCTATGGCAGTGGAGGGTTGTTTTTTGGACTGGAGGCCTGGTGTTGAGCAACGACCAGTGGCGTTCTGCAGGGATTGGTATTGGGTCTACTTTTGTTTGACATTTATATAAATGATTTTGATGAGAATATAGAAGGCATGGTTAATAACTTTGCGGATGACACCAAAATTGGTGGCATAGTGGACAGTGAAGAAGGTTACCTAAGATTTCAAAGAGATCTTAATCAATTGGGTCTATGGGCTGAGGAGTGGCAGATGGAGTTTAATTTGAATAAATGTGAGGTACTGTACTGTACTAAAACAAACAAGGGATGCAGGACTTATACAATTAAAAGCAGACCCTTGGGTATTGTAGACCATAGAGACTTGAGGCTTTAGTTACCGAATTCTTTGAAATTTGCGTCACATACAGACAGGGTGGTTGACAAGGCGTTCAGTATGCTTACCTTCATTGCTCAGTCTGTTGTGTAGAGAAGTTGGGACGTCATGTTGAGATCATACAGGCCATTGGCAAGGCCTCTTCTGCAGGACTGTGTCCAATTCTGGTTGTCCTGTTGTCGCAATGATATTATTAAGCTGGAGAGAGTTCAAAGGTGGTTTACCGGGATCTTCATGAGAATGGAGGGATTGAGTCATAAGGAGGGGCTGGGACTCCTTTCACAGGAAGGTAGCATGTTGAGGTTGACCGTATTGAGGTTTGTGAAATTCAGGTGTCCTTTCTCTGGTGTGGGGATTTCAAGACCGGGAAGCATATTTTTAATCAAATGGAATAACATTTATTGTCACATGTACTCACATGAGTACAGTGAAAAGTTTACAAGTTGCCACTTGTGGCACCATCTCAGGTACAAAGGTACCTCGGCACAACACTACCCAGGGCCCTACCATTAATTGTTTAAGTCCTGCCCTTGAGGAGTATAGAGGAGGTGAATAGCAGATGTCTTTTCCCTCGGGTGGGGGATTTCAAGACTAGGGGCATATTTTTTAAGGTGACAGGTGAAAGATTGAGAAAAGGCATGAGGGGCAACCTTTTTTTTTTTGCAGAGTGTGGTTCTTGCGTGGAATGAACTTCCAGAGGAAGTGGTGGATACAGGTACAGTTTACAACATTTAAAAGACGTTTGGATAATATGTAAATGAGAAATGTTCAGAGAGATATAGACAATGTGCAGGCAGATGGGACTACATTAGTTTTCGAACATGGTCAGCATGGACTGGCTGGACCAATGGGTCTGCTTCCATGCTGTCAGACTCTATGACTCTGTGATTGAAACTGACAGAATACTGAGAGGACTGGATAGATGGACATGGAGATGTTTCAACTAGCAGGAGAGACTCGAATCTGAGGGCACCGCTCTCAGCAAAGGGATGACCCTTTAGAACTGAGAAGAAGAATTTCTTCAGCCAGAGGGTGGTGATTCTGTGGAACTCAGTGTCGGAGAAGGTTGTGGGGGCCAAGTAATTGAGTGTACTTATGACAGAGATAAATAGGTTCTTGATTGGTAAGGGGATCAACAGGAGAAGATAGGAGAATGGGTGTGAGAAACATATCAGTCACAATCAAATTGTGGAGCAGTCTTAGTGGGCCGAATAGCCTAATTCTGCTCCTCTGTCTTGTGCTCTTATGGTTATTATGGGTGACTTCAATCTGCATACAGGTTGAACAAATCGAATCAGCAACAATACCATAGAGGAGAAATTCCTGGGTTGTGTACGAGATGGTTTTCTAGATCAACATACTGAGAACCCAAAGAGAGGACAGGCCATCCTCAAAGGTGTATTGTGTATTGGTCAGGGGTGGGTTAGCTCAATTGGCTGGACAGCTGGTTTGTGACACAGAGTGACACCAGCAGCACGTACTCACTTCCTGTACTAGCTGAGGTCACCAAGAAGGTCCCACCATCTTAACCTTGCCCATTGACTGAGGCACGGTAACCCTGAGGTTAAAGCACTGTCAGTCGTCTCTTGCTTTCTCTCTCTCAAGAGACAGAACAGTCTGACAATCTTCTGGGAACACAGCAACTTTATTTCAAAATTTTAATTGTGTAATGAGAATGGATTAATTGGAAATCTAGCTGTGGAAAAGTGAAGACTCCTTCATGAAGATGGGGAGTGACAGAGATGATTCTGAGACGAGGGGCCAAAATCTAAAGAGAGGAAATTACAGTGTTATGAGGTGCATGCAGGCAACAATAACTTGAGGAACTTAAGCTTTAAGGGGGTTGACAAATATTTAGAGAGCACTTGGAGGAACTGCAACTGTTGTTCATTCCTGTCTGGTACAAAATAAAATGGGAAAGGCGACCCTGCCATAGTTAACAAGGGATGTTAGGGATAGTACCGGATCCAAGGAAGAGGCGTAAAAGTTGGCTAAGAAGAGCAGCAGACCTGAAGACTGGCAGCAGATCAGATTTCAGCAAAAGGGGAAAATAAAGTCTCAGGGTAAGCTTGTAGGAAACATACAAACTAATTGTAAAAGCTCCAAAAGGGATATGAAGAGAAAAAAAAATAATGAAAACAAGTCCCTTACGATCAGAAACAGGGGAAGTTATAATGTGGAATAAAGCGATGGACGGACCAATTAACGACATATTTTGGTTCTGTCATCACAAATGATGACATAAATAATATCACTAAAATGCTGGGGATCACATGAGAGGGAGGAAGTGAGGAAATCAGGAGTAGTAGGGAAATAATGTTGGGGAAATTGATGGGATTAAAAGCCAACAAATCCCAGCACCTCATAATATACGCCTCAGAGTAGTTAACAAAGTGGCAGGAGAGACAGTGGATGCATTCTGAAACTAGGGGCTTGAATCTAAATTGAGGAAATTAATGGTCATCTTTCATAATGCGAGAGACTCTGGAACAGTTCCCATGGATTGGAGGGGAGCGAATGTAAGCCCACTATGTAAAAAAGAAAGTAGAGAGAAAACATGGACTTATAGATCGGTTAGCCCAACACTGGAAAACAGTAACAGGATTAGACAAAGTCAGAGTCAGTCAGCTTGGATTTAGAAAAGGGAAATGAGAAACGAGAACTGAGACCTGTTTGTCCTTGGACACAAGTCACTCAACGTAAGCATGTAGGTAGCAGCAGGAAATGAAGGCGGCAAATGCTAGGTTGGTCTTCATAGTGAGAGGATTTGAGAACAGAAACAGGGAAGACTTGCTGAAATTGTACAGGGTCTTAGTTGGACCACACCTGGAGCCTTGTGTGCAGTTTTGGAATATTATGTGACTAAGGATGTTCTGGCTATGGAGGCTGTCCAATTAAGGTTTACCAGACTGATTCCTGGGATGGCAGGACCAACGTATTATGACAAAATAGATCAGATAGGATGAAATTCACTGGGGTTTAGAAGAACATGGGAAGATCTCACAGAAACCAATAAAATTCTAATAGGACCAACAAGTTAAATACAGGAAGGAGGTTGATGAGGGAGTACAGAACCAGGGAGTCACGGTTTAAGCATATAGAGTATGCTGTTCAGGACTGAGATAATGGAAAATTTCTTTTCTGAGACTGATGAGCTTGTGGAATATTCTTCCACAGAAAGCAGTTAAAGCGAAAACATTGGATGTTTCCAAGAGGAACATAGCTATAGGTCTGAGGGCTAAAGCGATCAAAAGATGTGGGTCTAAAGTGGGAAAAGGCTACTGGTTGAAAGATCAGCCATGATCATACCGAATAGGGGAGCAGGATCAAATGACACAATGGCCTACTTCTGTTCCTATTTTCCATGTTTCTATTCTGTTCATGGTGGGATATTAAAACAAAATGACTGTAACTAATACAGATATCAGCACTACCTTATTGCCACTGAATGAAAATCCTGAAACTCCTCACCAAACAGCAATCTGGGCAGAGCTTCACCACACAGACTGCAGCAGTTCAAAAAGATCAAGGAGGGGCAGTGATTTTGAAAGCTTTTGGACTGGCTGCTCTGTCTCTCAATTTCTATCCAGTTATCAAATTGTTGAATGGTCTGAGGAATGCAACATAGGAAATAAGATAATATTTATGGAAGCTTGCTGAAACTGTTACATTCACTGCTGACTTTGAAATTCGCTCAAGTTTCATGTGTCCATGGACAACTCATTATCCAAGGATTGCACAAAGGCTTGATATCAATTGTTTGAAACTGTTTAATTGAACTGAAAATTTACATTAATTTTATTTTCTGTTTAATATACCCATTATGGGTGTTTGTGAATCAGTGAGAGTGGAGGTTATAAACGAAGAAGGTTGTGTTTAAATCACAGATATTGATGAGATTGCCCAGTTGATTGTGTTTGTTTTGCTCAAGTTATTGTTATTTCTTCTTTCTAGAAATTTGGTGTCCAAGATCGGTCATTCATAAAGTCTGGTCAGGAGCATTTGGGCAATTTTGAGGGTCTTTCAATATTTTAAATTTCACTGTTGTGAATCCAGTCATAGTGAGACTAATTTGTTTTGCTTTGCTATCCTGACGTTGTAACGAGTATTTGATTGCCAAAATTAGCTCAGAAACAGAAATGATCTCCAGTGCAAAACAAACAATTCCTGACCGTGGGAAGATAAAGCTGGGAAACTAGCAGCATGTAACCAGAGATGGGTAGGACCAGAAACCCCATTTAGACACAACTGGCAGAAATAACAACAAAATACCAAACAAGGTTCAAAGAAGAGTCCATACAGTTTAGAGCTGGAGGAACACAGCAGGTCAGGCAGCATCAGAGGAGCAAGAAAGTCGACATTTCAAGTTAGGAGCCTTCATCAGAGTCCAGGCATCGAAATCAAGAGATAGTAAGAACTGCTGATGCTGGAGTGTGGAGCTGGAGGAACACAACAGGCTGAGCAGCAGAGGAGCAGAATGTTCACATTTTGGGTCGGCACCCTTCTTCAGAAATGGGGGAGGGGGAAGGGAGCTCCGAAAGAAAAAGAGAGGAGGGGTGGGGCTGGGGAAGGGAAGTGGGATGGTGAGAGGTGAGTGCTGGTAGGCAGTGGTGGGGATTGGTCAGTGAGGTGGGAGGAGCAGATAGGTGGGAGAGAAGATGGACAGGTTGTATCAGGTCAAGGAGGCAGGGATGAGAGGGATGAGGCCAGGGGTGGGGAGATTTTGAAACCGTTAAAGTCCACACTGAGACCATTAGGTTGGAGGCTCCTCAGGCAGAATATGAGGTGCTGCTCGTACAGTTTCCGGGTGATGTCATTGTGAAACTGGAGGAGGCCCAGGGTGGACATATCGCCCAGGGAGTGGGAGGGGGTGTTGAAATGGTTCACGACCGGAAGGTGTTGTCATTTGTCGCAAAGAGCATAGGTGCTCAACAAACCGATCTCCAAGCCTCCGCTTGGTCTCAACAATGTAGGGGAGGCCACATCGGAAGCAACGGATGCAATCGACCACATTGACGGATGAACAGGTGAACCTCGTCTGATGTGAAAGGTTTGTTTGGTGCCTTGGATGGAAGTTAGAGGGGAGGTAGAGGGGCAGGTGTAGCACTTCCTGCTACATTATAACATCATAAAAGTTGCATTATAACACTCTCGACGAACAGATTGGAAGTTTCCACTATGTGAAGGATGCAATATTGATATAAATTAATTGCCATTGATTTAGACATATCACAGTTCCGTCATCATCACTTGGTGAATAACTCATTACCTAACAGTCTTGTGGGACCTATTAAGGGAAGATAATTGCCAGCAGCAAGTGGTCAGGCAATGTTCAGCTGTAAAAACCTCATGAGAGAATCAATGGAAGTAACAATAAAATACCTAAGACAGTTACACGCATCATAGGAGACATAGCAGATTAAAATCATAGAGTTGATCAGGGAGAGCAAAGATGGACCAGAACAATGTCGAGTGTTATAAAGCAGCTTTTGACACAAGCCACATATAACGAGGGGGTGACAAATGAGTCGCATTAGTCCCAGAGTCAGATAACTGTGAAGAGCATGAGAATGTCAATTGTGTAGATTACTGGTTAAGAACATTGAAATAATTTCATTGTGTTCAACTTTAAAATCAAATTCTGGAGTCTGCAGCTCAAAAGATATCAGAAGCATTGGGATCAGAGGAAACCCATAGTTTAGGAAATAACTGGGAATCAGGGTGATGTCACTGGGCAATTGCTCGTGAGAGATAACATCACCGACTTGAACAGAGAGCATTTGGATCTGCACAAACAGGTGATCTCGACAAAGGATGCGAGGGTCTGAGGAGAGATTTGAAAGGAGATGAATCAGAATGGCTCAAGAATAGGATACGAGTTGTAAGGTCAAGTTGGGGAAACTGAAGTTCTGCACAGAGCAAAGAAGATTGAGATAAAGTGTCTCGTTTATAATAGGTTTATGCAAGGTAGACAAAGAGCTGCTGTTCCTCTTCACCAACAGTAAAACTGAGAGAGACACAGATTTAAGATACTAGGCAATAGTTACTGGGAGATACAAGGAAGGAATTTTGTAACTTTTATTTTGCTCAATACTTACATTGAAAGGCCAATAATATCCAGTGCTGAATGAATAATAAATAAACTGGCACACAGATCTTGGTATGTTATGTGGTTTGAGTTTGCAGTCTGTAAATCCTCTTCTAACATGCTGTAAAATAAGTTTACAAAGCCAGCTCAGTCAGTCCAGGACAGAATTTCAGAAGAGACAAATATTTCTGTTATTCGGAGTATGCTGTGTGTAAATCCTCCCCTCCTCACTCCCTGCAAAAGCAGTTTATAAACTCCATCCCTTTCAGTCCAGAAGAGACATTAACAACGTTCTTTCCCCGGCCCAGAATGACCGCACATGCGCCCTGCTGCCCTTTGCTCCCTACAAAGATGGCGGCCGTCTCTGCGGCCTGCCGTTGAGAGGGAGCCTCGATTTGTCCCGTTTTGTGAAACGGGCGCAAATAGCTTCTTTATGCGGGGTCTGCTGCATCCACGAAGTGTTTAGAAAGCCTCCCCGTCTAACCGCCCGGTCTATCACCTCCTCCGTTCCGCCTCATTGTTACCTTTTGTGGAGCTGAGGAAAATAGCGACTGCTTCTCCGAGTCGCTCCGACTGCGCATGCTCTATACTGTGGGCCCGCGGGAACATACTGAGCCTGCGCAGTGAAATGAAATGCTCTGCGTCGCGCTCGGAAATCTGGGTTAAGTGCCCACCATTGGAAAGATGGAATTTTATTTGTCGTAATGTGTAAAAGCAATCTTTCTCGACACTTTCTTCCAAGGCAACTGACATATATAATACAACTAATAATTAATAATAATTAATTAATAATACAATGCCTTTTGCATCCCAGGGATAATAATATCACAAAGTCTGACACTGAGCCACACTGGTACTGACACTGAGTCGCCATACACATTCTCCATCACAGGAGAGAGATAAAACTGGTCGTGGTTTGACCTGAAGGACACCATATCTCATGTCAGCAGAGAGGTTGAAAGGGGAGAGTCATTAGTGGTAACCTCAGGCGGTATGGGATTTAAATCTACACTGCTGGCATCATGAGGAAAATTGGCAAATGGTTCTGAGAAAGAGTTTGGCTTTCACAACTGTCTTCAAAGAGAAAAACATAGATTTCATGTTGCAGCAAACAACATTTCCTGTCATTTGTTGAAGGAAGTGTTTTTGTTCCACTGATGCCCTCAAGACATAAACTAACTATTCGGATGAACACTTGAAACGTCAGCGCAAACGAGACGATGGGCCAAGTGTTGGAAACTGGGTTGAGAAGTGAGATGTTTGATGACTGGCATAGATATAATGGGCTGAAGGGCCTCTCTCCATGGTGTTAAAATCTCACTGGCTATCATTTTGCAAGTGAAACAAAAGATCAAAATCAGTGTCAAGAAAAAAAGTTGCAAATAGTGTGTACACCCTCCTTTTTGGGATTCAGCATTGTAACTGCTGTGTTCTCGGTTTGATTCCCAAATAGGAATGAGGACTTTATTGTTCCTGTCCAAACTCTTAAAATGAACGTGAATTCCTGACATTAAAAGACATACAGGGGACATCTCTGTCAGAATCAGTGGAAGTTTTACCATCAAGGATGAAACCAAACAGGAGGAAGCACTGAAATCCATTGACTACACAGTAATACAAAAATACTTGCTCCTTATTAAAGCATACAGGTTTCTTTAAGATTTAACATGTGGACACAAAAAATTTCCTTCTGGGCAGTCTTGCACCAGAGTGCCTAATATCAGAACAGGGATCGCACATTTAAGACAGATGAGGAAGCATTTATTCTCTCAGATGGTTGTGAATCGGTGGAATTCCTTACAGTGGAGAGTTGTCAGATCTGGGTAATTAAGTGTATTCAGTGGTGAGATTGACAGATTTTTAATCAGTAAAGGTATCAAGGGTTATGGGGAAAGGCAAGAAAGTGTAGTTCAGGATTATCATATCAGTCACAACCTCATTAAATGACAGAGCAGACTGAATGGGCTAAATGGTCTCTTTCTGCTCCGAACGTTTATGGTCTTAATATGAGACTGTAAGGCAGACTTTGCAAAATTTGCCAAGTTAACATGCGTGGATCCCCTCCAGACACTGAACCGAGGTGAGATGTGCAAAGGGCAACCACACAAAGGAGAGTCATTGTGGGTGATTGATTCAGAGTGATCTATGTACCAGGGTAAACAGTGAAAATCAGTCTTCAGAACCCACATTGGGCCTGGCTCCATTAGGCCAACAGTCAGCTCTCGCAAACCACCACCACCCTTCACTTTTCCTGACGTTCGCTCTTTTCTTGTTTTAAACCGATTGCACGTCAGGCAATTACAGCTGACATTGCTAATGTGGTACAGTAATATGCAGTGAATCAATTCTGACTGGTCCATTACATAATTCTGCTTCTAAGGATTAGTCAGTGTTTTATATTTATTACTGTAAATGTTAACCATTGAAGTCACTGAATCCTGATCACTAGACTACCAGGGCAGATCTCTGTTCATATCACCCTGGACACAGTCTGATTTGGCGTTGTATTCTCCCATCCTTCTGCACATGATTCCCTCAGCTCTGTATGGGATCTGTTACATTGTCTTGGTGTATGATGCATCGGCTATCCAGTCATCTATGACATTGCAGTTTTTAATGCATGACTTTGTAGTTTGGTGATTCACCCAGTGGTTTTGAGTTTGATTCTTTCTGGGGCCTGAGAGAATGTTCACCACCTGCTGGAACCAACCAAAGGAGCTCTTTAAAGACGTTTGAAATTATTTCTGATGAAACAGCGTTAATACCACCATGACATTTCCTCAACCAGCAAGAAATACGTTTGAAATACCACATTGCTGTTTGTCCTTTCAGGTACTTGAGGAAGATCTTTCAGAAGGACAGAAAGCAGTTGGCATGAGCAATGTTCCAGTTTGGCAGGAAGAATGAGGTGAGGCACGATTAGCTGCAGAGTAATGGAGAAACAATGGGGCAAGTAACACAGCAGGGGAGGGGCCGAATGCTTCCTTTCTTTGCTGTAACCAGACACTGGTTTTGAAGTCTGAAATGGGACGATATAAGGCAGATGGGTGAAATACTTGCTTTCTGGGGTTGGTCTCTCCTGAAGCTGACATCGCTCTTGGGACAATGTGCCTCTGTGTTTCCTTCTCTGGGTGAAAATGATGTTCAGTTTCCCATCTCAAATCTCAGTCCCATTCTTTGTGGCACTTGAGATTAAAACATTACAGGGAAAATATCATTGAGATGAATACTTGAAACGTCAGAGCACACAAGGTTCCAGGTTAAATGTTGGAAACTGGGATAATAGGTTCAATTTCTGGTCAGGGAATCAGGATTAATTGTTCCTGACAGTAACAAAATCAAACACAGAGCAGTCTCTGACGGGAATCCTTTCAGTGTCTCATGTCAGTTAATGTCCCCGAGAGCATCAGAGTCAATGTCCCAGCCTCTTCATGACGGGGAAGCTTCCTCGACCGCCGCTGCTCAGTTGGAAAATTCACCTTCATTCTCCTCTGATTCTGCTTCCCAAAGAATTTTGAAAGACTCACAAAGCAGAGACTGGTTTTATTTTTTGTTTTGTTTTCTTTCCATTCCCGGGAGATCCAGTGACTGGGTCAGTAGATGTGGGAAATTGAACGTGAATTTTGTGGGACTATTTCAGCTTCCCCTCCTCTGACATTCTCGGTGACATTTACTGATGTGAGACATTGAAAGGAGTCTCGTTTCTGCAGATTAGAAATTCAAAGCTCATCTTGGTTTCAGGACAATGAGGAAGATTAGTTTGGAAGTGTAAAGAAATTGTGAATTACACCTGAGCTCGGTAGTCAAACCTACAATTTCCTGATCTGTAGTCAGGCGCATTATCCATTGCACGACTGGCCCCACGTATGTGCAATGCTTACATGCGCCAGTGTTGTGGTGCTGACAGGGACATGAGCAGCAATGGTAACATTCACAAAGTGAACAACCTGCAAAGACAATCACTGTCAAAGCTTCAGTCCAATGGTCCCTGCTTAGTGAAGTGGTGAAATTTACTGGCAAAGAAAACACATTTGTCCTCAGGAGACTGCTTCAGTGACTTCTCTTTTTCTGATGGATTCATCATGAAGTTCCTTTCTGCTGTTCTGCAAGGACTTCTGCTTCTCCTTTTCTTCTTTTCTCATCCCTTCATTCCCAGTTTGGTTGGAATAACAAGGTGAGCAGGATAAATTGCAGACTTAGCGGGGAATGTTGTGGTCATGGCCCAGTCAGAGTGAGCTGATCTCTCTCATTCTCCGCTGTCACCATTCATTCATTTTACACCAAACAGTAAAGACATCACTACAATCCTTTAGAATTCTAAAGATTCACAATCTTTTGAGAGAAGAAATATTTCATTACCTCCGCCCTAAGTGACAGACACATTATCCGGGGAATGTGAATCCAGTTCTAGACACTCCAGCCAGAGGGTAAAAGCCTCTCAGCAACTCCACTCTTAAATTATCTCCGAAGTTCAGACTTTACACAGTGCAGGAATGGGAAATGAGGGATTTTGACAGAAGGAGAGTTGGAGAATGTGAAAGGGGGTGAAGTGGATATACAGAAACAAAGAGAGACAAATCGAGATACTTATTGAGGTAGACACTGAAAGGACCAATTCTCCATTTGACATGGCTGCAAACTGACACAAGGGAAAAGAAAAAGGCAACCATTTAATCAGCCTCACACCACATCTGGGCAATGGAAGGAGCATTAGAGCCAATGAAATACCTTTAAGGTTGTAAAGTTGACAGTTGTCAGCTAATGAGAGAGCACAATTTGATAAATATGTTGATTCAACAGACAGAGCTGACAATTTCCTCTGGCATTGTAATATAGAAATTCATAACAAACCTTGCACTTACAAATAGTCACTGGACCCGAAATGTTAACTCTATTTCTCTACACCGGTGCTGTCAGACCTGCTGAGTTTCTCAATCTATTCCTGTTTTCGTGTCAGTTTTCCACAGTTCTTTGTTTTATGTTAATCTGAATAGCGTTTGCAATAAAATAGATTACCTTACAGCTCCTGAAAAAAACAGTCAGAAATGCTGTCATCACGATAAATTAGCAGAGTAGAACTTCCATTTCCTGACCAGGAATCGAACGTAGGTGACAAAGGTGAGAGTGCCAAATCCTAATCACTTGATCACCAGGGAAAGCAACAGACACATTCATATATTTTCTCAATGATACTGCCTTTGCGTTTTAATTTGTGATCATTTTCACTGTCGATTTATTTCTCAGTTTTTGAGTTTTCACAGGGTGGAAGAAAACCATTCCGCCCATTGTGTCAGTGCAGGTCACCAAAACTCCATCTATTCCAGTCCCAGTTTCCAGCATTTAGCCCATAGCCTTGTGTGCTCTCATGGTTCAAGGGCAAATGTCAATCAGCTCGTCCCTGTATTCTCAAATGACACAATGAATTGAACTGAAGCTTCAGATGGTAAAACTGTGTAAATACTCCCTTAAGGAACTCATCCTCATTTTCACCTACAGAGGGAGACACACAGACACATCCCCGAGAGTGACAGAGTCCTCATGATTATATCCACTCCATGTGCTTCATGTCCGTTCTCCATCCCCACACACAAGTTTCTGCGACGAAAGG